TCCCCACATTCGTAACTCCTTCCCTTCCCCCACGTCTGAACTTGGATACCCCTTGCTAAGGCAACTGAGAGCGGGTGATGGGCTCTCCTGCATCCTCACTCAACACTTCCCTCTTATTGCATTGACCTAGAGCGTCTCCCATTTTCGTCGCTGTTTCCTCCACCAGAGTGTAGGGCGTGCTTGGGTAGGAACGCTGGCCGTTCTCTCTGGTACTGTGTTCTAGAGCCCAGCACAGGCATACAGTGGGCATGCAATTTTTGTTTGATATTTCTATAATGAAAGCCAACCTTTACTGAGTGCCTGGTAAGTACTGTCCATAATATAAATTACTCCTTTTAATCCCATAACGACCTCAAAGTAACTACTATATTATTATCCCCCAAGTACAGATATTTTACCTGCATCCCAGAGAGCAAATTTCTGAATGTTAGTTTACTTCTTCAGTCTATGTTTGAGCCACCAGAGCAGCCAGTGAGGAAAGGACAGGTTGAATAAGAATTTTATGTCTGCACACTATTTTCAGGGTTTTCAAAGCATTTCTACACACATAGAACTGATGATTATCAGCAAGTATTATACAGAGTTCCTTTAGGAAAAGGACATTATTGTACACTGTTTGTGGGGGTATAAACTAGTGGAAATGTAAAATGTATTTAGAAGATGATTTGGATTTATCTACCAAAATTTAAAATACACATACATTTTAGGTCCAGCAATCTCACTTGAGGGAATCTATTCCAAAGACAGATGTGTACATGTGCCCAAAAATCTATGTGCAAGGAAATCTGTTACAGGATTGTTTGTAATAGGGGAAAGAAGGACACAATGTAAATGCTCATTAATAATAGGGAAGGACTTTGCAACTAACGAGAATGAGATAGACCCATATCTACTGTGTGGAAGGGTCTCTAAGACAACTCTAAAAATATAATATAGCAAATCCATATGGCATTGCCTTACTTATGTTTATTAAAATTGTTATATATAGTATGTTCATAAATATGTTATGTGTACGTATATATACATATATGTGTGTAGAGAAAGGATTGGAAGGAAATTCACCAAAGTATTCAGTGTTTCCTTTGCAGATGGGAGTGGTTATGAGAGAAGCTTCCACATCTCCCTCTAAAGACTTCTGTATGGCTTGAAGCACATATTCAAATGTGAATGTATTCATATATTACTTATCACACAAAATAACATGGTTAATTAATTAAAGATTAAGTTCCCTTCATATCATACCATTTTACCATCTGCTTTTAGGCCTGTTTTTCTTTTTTCTTCGTATATAATTAATATATGTTCAGAGTTAAAAGTACTACAGTAAAAATTAAAAAGTATGTAAATAAAAACCAAACATCTTCAACAATCTCACCACCCAGGTAAACTGTTAACATTTTGGTAAAAGAAAAAAGGGAGGGAGGGAGGAAGTGCCATGTCTATAGCATACATACATATAACCAAATTGCTAACATACTATATATGGAGTTTTGCACTCTAATTTTTCATTTAGTATGATATTAAGGGATTTCCCCGTGTCATTACTCATTCTTCAGAAATGTGATATTTAATGAATGTGTGCCATTCCATTATATGAACATACCTACTAGATACTAGGTTTTTAAAAATGTTCTCATTGTTAGATATAAGGCAGCAAATATTATTCTCTGCATATATTTGTCAGTACCTCTGATTACTTCCTTATATAGATTCATTCCTGGTAACATATGGATTCACTAGAGTAAACACCATAAGCTCTTAATGCCTCTGAATACATTGCACAAATTTATACTCCCACTAGCAGGATATAAAAGTTCCCATTTTAGGGCCGACCCTGTGCGCACTCGGGAGAATGCACTGGGAGCGCAGCGGCGCTCCCCCTGCAGGTTTGGATCCTATATAGGAATGGCCGGTGTGCTCACTGGCTGAGCACGCTGTGGGCGACACCACACCAAGGGTTGCGATCCCCTTGCCAGTCACAAAAAAGACAAAAAAATAAAAATAAAAGTTCCCATTTTATCCTGTCTTTGCCATTACTATTTATTGGCATTTTTTAACCTTACCAATTTGATGACGGAGGGAGGTCTAATTGAATTTCAACTTGCATTTTTTCTAAGTGTATATATTTGGTTACCAGCAAAGTTCAATATTTTTGTATTCTGTTTTGATCTTTTCCCCCTATATTTTCCACTAGGGTATTTATCATTTTCTGATTCATTTATTGCATGGATGTATGTGCGTGCATGTGTGTGTTCTGAACACTGATTTATGCTGATACATGCACACATATTTAAGGTATTACTCCTATGACCCTTTGTCTGTCATATAGTTTATATTACAGATATTTCTCTGAGATCTGCCTTCATTTTACTTATGTTTTTATGCAAAACAATATTTTTTATGTATTTAGTCTATAAATCTTTCCTTTATGGTTTCTTTCTTTGATTTTATGCTTATGCTTCCCTACACTACCATATTTGCTTTCTGACAAATTTAATTTTCAATGTATTTCAACTTGCTGAGATGTTTAGAAGGAGGCATGATAAGCCCAGGAAAATTCTATTTTCATGGAGAGTTC